AGTGTTTGTCGGCATATGGATGTGTTCAGGGCAGGACTCTCATCCTACATGTAAAGTTTGGTGCAGATGCGAGCATGTACACTGAAATTCTAACAACTTCCTGTTTCATGGTGAATCATCGACTTCAGACGCCATGCCACGGACACAGATAGCACAATTTTTCATCGTCAATGACTTTAGAAGGCACAGCAAAAATTTTAAGTTGATCGGAAAAGTATGCACCCTGTAAACAGTGAAAAAATGGGTTAAATTGCACTTTATATTCAAAATGGTTGACTTCCTATTGAGTTTATGGTATGGGTTTTCCAATAGGTGGTACGCCCAAGTGAGAGACCCTGACGTGTGTGCAAGGTTTTCAGGGACATTCAAGTCATCAATAGTGCAATTAATTTCGGAGAATTTCAATTCTTCTGACAGAAGAAGAACAATTCCTTCAGTTTCAATAGGGTCCTTGCATGTTTCATGTGCAGGCCTGTTCTTGAGCCCTGTTTTAGGGACGACAAGAAGTGACTGGGAGGGAGGCAAGAACAGGGGTGATGTGATCTCGCTTACAAGTTCCATTAAGGAGGTGAGCGGCAGTATTTTGAAACAATTGTAGTCGAGAGAGGGAGGCCTGGCTAACACCTACATACAAAGCATTGCAATAATCATGGCGTGTTGTAATAAATTCAGGTATAACCCTCTCAAAGCCTGTGAAGGATAAAAAGGGCTTCAGCTAAGTAAGAAGCCTAAGTTGAAAGAACCTAGCTTTCACAACAGAATTGATCTGCTTCTCCATTTTAAAATGACAATCCATTTTAATGCCTAGGTTTGCTACAAAAAGACTTAACGTAAGGTTCCAAAGTGCGCAGGTCTATTTTAGAGACATCAGAGGCATTACTGGGTCTAAATATCATGACTTCAGTTTTACTCTCGTTGAAGTTTTGATATCGTTAAAACAACAACGTCAACCAATCTTTTTAAAGAACTACCATCTTGTCTTTTAATGGGCAGGTAGATTTGCAGATCATCTGCATAAAAATGGAATCCGATGTTATGTCTTTTTAAGATGGAGGGGAAGCAAGTAGAGTGAGAAAAGAATTGGCCCAAGAATCGAACCCTGGGGAACTCCACATGTGAGGCACACAGAAGGTGAAATTGAGCCACCAAAACTGACTCTAAAATCTATGTCTGACAAGTTTGACCTAAACCATTCCAAGGCAGTGCCTTTCATCCCCGCGTCATGCTCGAGGCAAGAAATAAGGAGAGCACACCTTTAACAGAGACAATAACATACTGGGAATGGGCAAAGAGCTGTTTATTCAATGAATGCATGGAGTGGAGGAAAAGAAACATAGCTGCCTGAAATGTTTTTCTTAATACAAACATTCATTCAGGTTCAGGTTATATAATAGGCCATTTCATACAATCGCATCTTTATCAAAGGATCCATTAGCATAATAATCTTGATCATTCTATCACAATACACATGGACCTAGGTCACTCAAAGCAGCGTGGGCATAGACAATGCAATACTGACAAAATAACCTCACCTATTCAGACTTTAGAATAGTAAGTCGAAGTTGCGACTGCATTAGGGAACAAAAACATTGCCAAATAGCCTCTGCTGTGATGAGTGACTTCACCAGCAGTAGTTGACAGTCTCATTTTATGATATTGTTACGATAATGTTATATTATTATCATCCACCAATTGAAGTAATAATCATCTGCAGCCCCGGTGTTGACACATTTGCCGACATCTGCCTCAAGATTTTCAGAATTTTTAAGTCTGATCAGGTTTTTGGCCTTCGCAATACCCCCCCCCCCCCCCCCCCTTTGCACTTTAGATTTCGATACCTTGATCCATCCACAGATATTTGGCTCTGAACCAGTGCTTGAAGAGGAAAAGATCAGGCCATTACTCCCCATTCACATGCTGTGTATTGGCTGGGCATTGGCCATTCATGCATATCAATGAGTTCAACATTTCGAAAGTTCGCTATAGCACATCAAACTTTTAATGACCCACCCACATCCAGGCTCTGATTGGTCTAAAAGCGACACTGATGTGCAACTTTATGAAAAGTTGAACATGTTGAATAAACAGCACCCAATCGTCTCTCTGTCTCTGCTGAAAGAGGTTAGCAAGCTGGTGAGAACAGGACCAGGTGAGCGCCACGTAGTGCCCCACAGGGTAATGCAGTTTATTTAGGGCCATATGAACCATCCAGAGACAGATAGCGAGAGGGCAGAGAAGAGTACCAGTAGCTTGTGAGAAGTGCCGGTACACAAGAAAAAGCCATGGTGTGCCAAAGATAGAATGTAGAAGTGCCGGTACTGCATACCGTTGAGTACCGGCCAACTTCAGGTACTGCTTTGATACACGGCTTCTGACACGAAGAATAAAGTACAGAAGGGTACTTAATACAGGAACCAAATCTACAGAATGTCAAATCAACTCTTAATGAGGTTTAATCATGGTAACTTGTTAGACAAAGAGTGTACCTGTGTATTTGTTGGGTGCTGGTGGGCTGCTAATGTTCCATCCAACAGGCCTTCTGCTGTGCAGGGAGCCAATGATCTGCTGAGCCAGCTGAGGGGAGGGACCTGAGCTAGGCAGCTGGCTCTGAACATCCAGATGCCGTTGGTTGTACGGGTAGTGAAGGGTCAGATTGTAAGTGGGAATGCAGGACACCTGGCCTGCCTGAGGTCTTATGTTGGAGCTTTTCTCCCTGCAGGGAGTCACTGGGTAGGGGTATCTCTCCTTCAACAGCCCCCTCTGTAGGGAGCAGCTTGAGCGGTCTGGCTGGAAGAGGCTACTGGCCTGCTGCTATCCAAAAACAAACACACAGCAGCAGCGGTTTTGAAGAAATGACATTTTGCTACAATGTAAAGTAGTGAGTGTACAGCTTGTAGAACAGTGTAAATTTACTGTCCCCTCAAAATAACAATTCACACAGCCATTAATGTCTGAACCGCTGGCAACAAAAGTGAGTACACCCCTAAGTGAAAATGTCCAAATTGGTCCCAAAGTGTCAATATTTTGTGTGGCCACCATTATTTTCCAGCACTGCCATAACCTTCTTGGGCATGGAGTTCACCAGAGCTTCACAGGTTGTCGCTGGAGTCCTCTTCCACTACTCGACATCATGACGACATCATGGAGCTGGTGGATGTCAGAGACCTTACGCTCCTCCATCTTCTGTTTGAAGATGCCCCACAGATGCTCAGTTGGGTTTAGGTCTGGAGACATGCTTGGCCAGTTAATACAAGCTGTACACTCACTACTTTACATTGTAGCAAAGTGTCATTTCTTCAGTGTTGTCACATGAAAAGATATAATCAAATATTTAAATAAATGTGAGGGGTGTACTCACTTTTGTGAGATACAGTATATTGCTGTAACCATTCTTCCTGTCTGTACTGGCTGTGAAGAGATCCATCTGTGACGCAATTCCAATGTAAGTGATGGTGGACAAAATCCACTGTCCTTGCTGGCAACTGTGGCTCAGGAAGAAGAGAGGTCATCCACTACCCGGTGTTTTCTCACACAGTGTTTACTTCCTGAGCTGTGATGGAGGGGCAATTAGACAAAGCAGGAATTTGGTACTAACAAGACCATAACTTTGGTAGATTTGATTGATTTTTGTATCTCAGACTGCTTTGAAGCCTCATATTAACTCCAGGTAAACTATTAAATATGTTTGATACATGAAATGAGGACTGTGGATTTTGTCCCCCATTACTTAATTATAAAATAAAAGGGAAGGGATCTCCTGAGGGCCAGTATAGACAGGAGAAATTAAAAAATGCCATTAAAAAACCACACTGTACATACAGGCTTGTGAGTATAGACAGGTTTCTCGTATACAAACACTACTGGAAGCGCGCACAGCCAGGGGGCAAAAGCGCTTTGGTAGCAAGTCAGAAGACTGTAGTCAACCGCTGTAGTCAACCGCTGTAATCAACGTAGATTGCACATTGTAAATTCTTGTTGACTTAATAATAAACTGCCATTTCAGAGTAGGATGTGTTTGTTTGTGTTTCATTTCGCATATTTAGTGAGCTGCTAGCCAAAAAGCTAAAGGAAGAATGGAGAACGATGGAGAGATATGTTCTTTCCAAAGCTGTAAGTATTGCCATTAAGCCTAGCTGTGTCATGCTCAGAGATGCAAAGAACATTGTCTTCCGTTGTAAACTTTGTGCGACAAGCAAAAAGCTTTCAACCGCGAACAACAACAGCATCTGCGAAAGCAGCATGAAAGCAGAAAGAAACTCCGGCAGCTGCTGCCAGTGATGCATCCACTTGGCAGTAGAGAGTGGGATTAATCAATGTTTTGTGTTTTGTAAAAGCACTGAATACTTCTCTTATAAATGCATGTGCAGATGAGTAACGTTAGTTCCCAAGTTGAGACACATTTTTTTTATCTCAGACAATGGTATTAAAAAATGGATGCTTGTAAAAATCCTACTCATTGATGCTGTTATGAATACGCGATTAGTTAAAATGTCGGGGAGGACCTGCTTTGTTTTTTATTATTTTTAAATAGCTTATAACCATAGCATATATGATACAGCATCCTCCGGCTGCAGTGTTTTCAGTTTGGCTGGTTGTTGACTCCTTAGGTTAATTATTGTTCCAGTAAAGTGGATTAATTTCCAAAATGCGCTGGTGAACAGGTTCCGTCACTTTTAAGGATGGTGGTTGAAAGTTATTGTAACGCAACAAGTGACGTGACTATTTACTGTTAAAACCCAGTAATAAGTAAAGTAATATTGTTACTTTTTAAATGAGTGATAAGTAAAAAGTAACTCATTACAATTTCTGAGTAATTTGTCCAACACTGCTGCTAGATATGCCATATAATATGCTGCAAAGACAGAGAGCTGCTTTCTGCCCCCTGGTTGCCCACACATCTCGGTGATGATGTTTCACAGATTAAAGGACATTAAAGGTAAATTGCATTTTAAGATCATGTATATCATTTTCTTTAAGAAAAATAATGGGGGCACAAAACATTTTCTATCATAACTGTGAAAGTCGAAGTCCCACCTCAGGATAGGAAGCTGCTCTGAGTTTGGTCTTCATCTTGACTGCTTTGATTCTGAGTTGTTTGCGGTGGTCTTGAGAGAAGGTAAGACTGAGACCAGACTTAGTGGCTTGACTCTGGTCTTCAGATAACTGCAGCTCCTTGCACTCAGTGTCACTGTGTGCAAACAGAAGGTTCACACTGTGTATCTTTGCACTGGTTTAGCTGGAAGTTCTACATTGAGAATTACAGAGGGAGGGTGCCAACTCACGTCAGAACGTAGTTCACACTGACAATACAGTGAGGTCTGGAGGAGCGGCTGTTGTGGATAATGGTAGCATAGCTCTGCACCCACACCCAGCCTCCACGCTTTGATAACATGCGGTAGTACTTAGTTGTGACCTGCCCCTTCACCAGTACTACAGGGAACACAAATATCAGAATAAAAGAGAGAAAAACATGGTCAAATCTAACATCAGCCCCTCAGAGCCGCACAGGGTGGGCCTTTTTTTGTAACCAGCATTGTAAAGTCCTCACCAAAGCAGAAATTTGTTTTAGCAGAAATGAGCTGTGAACACAACATTGACATGTCACCTTACAAGTTGATTGAAGCAAAAAGTACACATCCAGTAGTTATACATCCAATACTCTCTTTCTTTTATCTCTGTTTTTGGACCACCAAGTTATGAGAAAAATATCTAGCTCTTTAGCTGCTAAATGCTCCACTACTTTCACCAGCTTGACTGTCAACTGTGTCTTTTTACAGCTATTTCACATAGAACAGCTGTCTGCTGCAGCTGAAAACAACACTTTGAGTGAACCAAAAAAGTAAAATTGTGGGCTGCTTTAACAGACCACAATGCAATGCACCGACAAGATTCACTGTGTTCTCAGGTCATCCAGGTCATAGTTATCCAACAAAGGTTGAGGTCCAGGGCAACTGGACGTTTCGTCCCTCATCCACAAGACTTCTTCAGTTCTGACTGACTGGTAGGGAAACTCTCTGGGATCGTTAGTTAAGATCATCGATACCCCTGATTCGTAAGTAATGTTGGTAAAAGTTCAAGCTTTCTTATCTGTCCCAAGTCTTGAATGTTTTACACGACACTAACCTCGACAACCCAGCTGTATTCCTACGTTAACTTAGCTCTTCTTATTTGCTAGGCTCCTTACATGCTTAAAAAGTTAAAAATCGAAAATCAATATGTGGCGGTCACCACAAATAAATGAACGTATGGGAAACACTGGATCCACTATTTGGCATTAAGTGTTTGTTCTGACCATAAAAATAGAATTAACTATCTAGTTTCTTCAACTTTCACTCGGGAGCAAAAATCTGCCTTATAATGATTTGACATTTATCAAGAATAATCGATATTGAATGGTATTGCCCAGAACCTATCTTGTCCACTTCAAGCACTGATTGCAGAATGTTACCAGAATGCAGGAAATGAACTGTTTAATGCTCAAAATCTTCTGGGGGAAGACCCCCAGCAATTATCTTCTTGTCTTCTTCTTGTGAACCCAGAATGCTGTGGTGTGCCATCACACCACAGCAGCTACCGATAGTGAACCTCATCACAGCTACAGAATCTGCTATTTAGAAAAACAAATTAACCGAAACAGAAGCAGAACAGCTCAGGCTAAAGGTATCGGCAGCCCTTTCTAATGCGAAGGCACCCCCTTCCAACCTCACCATCCAAGAAAGGAGAGCTGTGACATCACTAAGCAAGGATCAAAACATCACCATCTTACCTGCGGACAAAGGAAGATGCACGGTAGTCCTTAACACAGTGGACTACCAGGACAACACACTACTAATGGACACAAACACATATGAGACACTAAAGCGGGACACAACCAGCGGGTCTGGATGCGGTCTCTTGGATGAGGGACGAAACGTCTTCTAGTATCTTCAACCAAGTCCAGTTGCCCTTGACCTCAACCTTTGTTGGATCACCATTTGAGTTGTTTTTGCATCTTGTTTCCTCCATTAATCACTTCCTATCATCCCTATGTCCCACCAAGAAGTTGTCCTCTGTTATTCACAAAAGTTAAACTCTATGTTAAAGCAATGTGATGAAAAGCTCTCTTTGTTAAGCTGATTTACTTATCCACTAACCCTGGTGCATCCTCGTCCTTGGTGGTCTTGTTGATTTGTAACTTAACTTACTGGTCACTCTACTTACCCCACTTGTACAAACCCCCATACATCTGACTTTCAAGGACTCACATAAATGGTGAGCATAGCGTAGATGGAAAATGTCACAGGCATGGACGTGGTGGTAGAGAGTCTTCTCGATTAGGTCCTGCGGTTCATAGCCTGTCAGCTCTGCCACCCTGGCTCCAGCACACAGGAGAGAGGACACAAGCTAAACAGTCAGGGGTTGATTTGGATATCAGTATGCTCAAGTACATCATTATATTTAGTTAACAATCCGGCAGTCCATATGTGCTAATATACATATATGTGTATGCATGTATGTGTATGCATGTATGTGTATGCATGTATGTGTATGCATGTATGTGTATGTGTGTGTGTGTGTGCGTGTGTTGTGGCAATGGTCTATATGTAATTATTAAGATTATTTGTGATGGTTTATATGATTTTATATTCCATACAGGGATCATCAAGATATCATGGCTTTCATCTATCCATTCACCTACTCAGTCAAGCGTCTCTCCTACCTCGTGTCCAAGAAAATTAGTTTAAAGTCCAGGCTGGCCCGGAACATGAACATGTTGCTGTGGAGTTTGATCTCGGTGATACCACTGGGGGGCAGGGAGTGACCAACTGCCACCAGACCCACAGTCTGATAACAGGATTCATACAGGGCCATGTCCATCATGTACTGACGCACTTTCAGGTAGCCGCTGCAGTGGATGACCTGGGAAACAAAAGCAGTGTCAATACGCGTTTACACATTCAAAAGAACTCAGATTGACAGAGAAAGTTGAGACAGTAAGATCCTGGTATTTTCCAAACAGCACCAAAACAGAAGACTGGGATTTGAACTGTTGTCTTTACACTATGCAATTGCTGTACTGCTACCAGTTGTCCCAGGACTGTGTACTGCCATAATATCCAACCATGATCACAATTTCATTTAACAAACAGAGGTTTTCAAATCTTAAGTTGCCAAGCATTGACCACAACCCAGCTTCTGCCATAATGTAGCTCTGATCTAGGAATCACCAAGATCAAACTCCACAGCAACATGTTGGCAGCCTCACAACGGACTTAACCTGGACTTCCAATCAAAAACAATAATGTCTTTTCTGAGGTCCAAGGTTTTGTGGTTAATGTTTTTCCCCTCATAACATGAAAGATGCCTACACATCTTGTGTCATGTTTGTGTGTACCTTTCAGAAGGCATATAAGATAGTGGACCACAAGGCTTGGAGCACACATGTACAGCATTGCACAGTGTAGTTGTGACACAACTGTGCTGCTACTGTTTAGTGGTTAGACAGTAATCCCTGATTCCCCTGTTGTCTGATTACTTTTTCTGCCCAATCAGGAGCTGACCTTAGGTATGTAATCACCAGCTGGGAGCGTAATTGATTTTAACCTTTGGTATATATATTTGACAATAAACTGGACTGGGCCAAGAACACCCACGCCCTCTCCAGGAAGGGCCAAAGCCATCTCTATTTTCTGAGGAGGCTGAGGTCCTTCAACATCTGCAGGACGATGCTGATGATGTTTTATGAGTCTGTGGTGGCCAGTGCTATCCTGTTTGCTGTTGCATGCTGGGGCAGCCGGTTGAGGGTAGCGGACACTAAAAGACTCAACAAACCAGTAACGTTGTGGGGGTGGAGCTGGACTCTCTGTCGGTGGTGTCCGAGAGGAGGATGCTGTCCAAACTACATGTCATCTTGGACAATGTCTCCCACCCACTCCATAAACTGCTCAAACACAGGAGCACTTTCAGTGCAAGACTCATTCCCCCAAAATGCACCACAGAGCACCACAGGAAGTCATTCTTGCCTGTGGCCATCAAACTTTATAACTCCTCCCTTTAAGTGTCTGACACACAGGCCCTTAGTTAGTTATTAAAATAGACCTTATTACCTGTTTTTTTGTGTGTGCAATACTACCTGTTAAATAATTAATGTGCAATATTCTCTGCTGCTATTTATTCATTAGCAATTTTTAGTTCACTGTAACAATTCTTTAATAATGTAAATGTTCACCGAAACTAAAAGGCGAAATCAAAAACTAAAAGTCGAAAATTAATTTGGTATTTGGATTGGGCATTTAGTCATTTAGCCATTTAGGATTGGGGATTTGGTATTTAGGATTGGGGATTTAGTCATTTAGCCATTTAGGATTGGGGATTTGGGGATTTAGGATTGGGAATTTGGGGATTTAGAATTGGGGTTTTGGGGATTGAGGATTGAGTCGTGTATGCAAATGAGGAGGCGTGGCCCAAAGGCTGCAGGGAGGGTTTGGTGCAGACGCACTTTATGGACTGCAGGGGGAGCTCTGACTACCAGCACATCGCCATGAAAGCAAGCAGCAGGGAGTGAATGGTGATTAATGCGATTGTCATCAGTGTTTTCCTATAGTGTCTCCTTTTATTCTTTCACTTCACTGTGTTTCCAGTGTTCCCGTCTGTCCCTGTGTTTGTTATTGCCCCATGCTCAGTCTCCCTCTCAGCTGCCTATTAGGGCCTAAAGTCTACACTAGAGGTGTTTGAGGTTAACACAAGCTCCACTGTTTTTCCCCACTGACTTGTCCTCCCCCCCTGCAGACAAAGATGTTTCACCTGGACATGAAGGACCACTTGGTGTCAAAGCTTTGGATCAGCAATCTGCAGCAGAGTCCCAGTCAACTGGGTCACACCACAAGTTGGAAATTACAGCTACAGCTGATTCAGTAACCTCTGGATCCACTCAGGACTTTTTCTCTCACTTGGACAGAATTTACTCTTCATTGAAGGCTTGTATTTTATCTTGCAGAGTTTCTATGTGATCTATAATTAACGTGTTTTATTTTGCTCATTATATTATACATTATATAGCACAGAGGTGCAGTCTGACGGGAGAAGCTGCTTGTCTTTTATTTTCACCATATATAATTGCTGCTGTTGCACCTGAATTTCCTTTAGTGCGGTCTTATCTTAACTAGTATACATGATCATACAGCCTGTGGACTTGCACAGTTTCTATGATCAAGTGTTGTGCTATACCCAGTCTATGGCTATACCTTACCTGCTTCTAGAGGTGGGTGCCACTGAAATTAGAAAGATATTAGGGCTAATTTGGCTTTTAGTTATGATTATGTAGTTTGTCATTTGTTCTGCTGTCTTTGTAAATTGCTAATTTGTAGAGGCAGCAAAATAAAAGTGGAAATAAGCATAACATTTCATTATACTTCCAATTTTTTACGATACTAAAATGTTAAAATCAGTGTTCTTCAATTATGTATAGAAGCTTCCTACACCAGGTAATGACAGATAGAGACAGCGACGTCACCTCACAAGGCCTGACCTGCACACATTTATTTAACATCATTTTTTCATCCTGAAAACAAGTATTTTAAAAACTATTTGTAAGAAATAAATATTTACCTTCTGAGCCATGTCCCTCTAATTTCCAAGTTTTGCAGTTTAAGAAGCAACATTATATATTTAACACAGCCCTGTTCGTCCCCCATTTACGTTGATCTGAACTGGCACTGTTGACAAAACCTGTACTCATCACATGGAAAGTTTGTAGTCTCCTTATGCTACACACAGAACATAACAGATAGTTAGATATACATTTGAATATGGTAACATACAACATGGCCTATACAGTTATTACTTTACAAATATACATACACATATACACCCAGGAAGTAACTGTCCAGTGCATTTTTTAAATTTGTGTCAGGGAGAATGTTAACAACAGTAAGGTCATAATGGTAATATGGTTTTCTCCAACTGGATCTCAGTCTTTTTTTTACTGCAAAACGTTTTTGATCATCCAGTACTTGATGTCACTGATACAGTTGTCAGGGTCATTAATAGGGCTGAGGATATCATGTGAAAGTGAAATATACAACTGAGCCTTGTGGGACCTCAAAGAAAATGTCACACTTGCTTTATTTTAGTTTAAAAGTTGTCAAGACACACAAGATAAGAAGAGAGCCCCTTTAAGACACGGCCACATTGCCCAAATGAATTTTCTAGTTTACTGATTAAAATGCTGTGGTTGACAGTATCTAAGGCTGCAGTCCATTCTAGAAATACTAGGATAGAAGGTTTGTTTGCAGTATTGTTGATCTTTTGATCACTGACTACTTCAAAGCTGTTTCAGTGCTGCGGTTGGTCCTGAAGCCAGATTGATCCACATCATATAGATTGTGGAGGGACAGGTAATTATGCAGTTGTTTGTAGACATCCTTTTCAAATATTTTACTAGGAAAAGGGATATTGGAGATTGGTCTGTAGTTGCTTATCACGGATGGGTCTAAGGGGTTCTTTGAAAAAACATTGTGGAGGTGCACGTGGAGGAGTTTAGCACCTTTTCCTCCTCTTTGGGATCATAGAGGTAGTAGGTGAAAAATGATGCACTGTGCCCACAGTGTTGTGATGGTGTAGGGGCATTAGATGAACGAAAGATGACTAGGGTTGGAGATCTGAAGGCATCTGAAGGAAGTTTGTGAATAATGTAAGACGAGATGACGTGGGCAGTGGTGAATGGGGACGCATGGCTGGCTGTCCAGCAGAAGGCAAACGTGAGGCAGAGGAGCAGGCGGTGATCCTGAGGTACAAGAAACAAAAGGTTAGTCACAAAGAAGACACCAGGAAGCAAAGGAGAGATTATGAGGCAGGAGCTCTGACTTGATTGAGCCTGAGATGTGAAACTGATTTTTCAGTTCTAGACTCAAATTGACTACTCATCTACTATCTGTAGATGTTCAAAGAATGGTCACTGTTTTTGTTCAAATCTAACTAGCAGTTACTAAGCCTCTAGTGTCGAGTTTATGCCCTAACTTAGGAGAGAAGTAATTGTTGCACATCTGAATAAAAACTCAAATCTGCACCATACATAAACAGATCGAAACATTGTTATCAGCATGGTCAGTTCAGACTCACGTTGAGTTACAGAAATGCACTGCTATGCTGAGGCTTCTCACATAACTCACTAACAGTATACCAATAAAGGAAAACATTTGGCTCCTACATTATACAGATTTGTATTGTAGCTCCTGTTTATTACAGCTGCATGTACAGTCATGTTACAGGCTTTACAGACACAATTTCTTATATGTACCACCACAAGGTCTTAAGCGGATGATAAATGGACTATTTACGTCTACATACTTGTGTACGTTCCGTTCATATATTATGTCTGCTTGCAACATACCTGCAACATACACAAACAGATTGGTACATTTTTATGAGCATGGCCTGCACTATTGCATTAATCACCATTCACTCCCTGGTCAAATGACATCGGCAGTGATGCAGGTAGTGTTCTCTGTTTCTGATTAGCGGATGTCGATCAGCCTCAACGTTACATTCATATGTGTGTAGTAATAATACCATACTAGGACTGCCGGCTGAGACTTTATAGCTGCGCTGTTATGTTTTTCAGAGCACACAAACACTGTAAACACACACCTGTCACCTGCCCAGCATGGTGCTATTACCCACAAACACAGCTTCTACACCTTATCTTTACAGTTATACGACAATAACGTAACTCATGCATATCAGCAACAGTTAGCCTAATATAGCTAACTTGCTAATGTTATCATATCTTACCTGCTGTACTGTCCGCTGCTTTCTCGTCACATGGATAGCATTCCTTTCACTGGTGACTTTGTGTGTGAGGCCACATGGACAGAAATGCTGTACACGTTTAGTTATGGTATTATAAATGATAGTCCTCC